TGGTATTTCACTCCCTGTCATACCTCCTTTTTTCTTTTTTGGGTGGGTTTTTTCCACCCTACTTTTTCTCTGGGGCTTTGTGGGAAGCCTCTTTTTCTTCTTTCCCCAACCCCCCCCCCCCCGTCCCTCTCGGTAGATAGGGTCTCACTATGTCTGGAACTTGCTGGTCTGGAACTTGCCATGAAGACAACACTGGCCTCCAACTCACAGAAAACCGCCTGCCTCTGCCTCCCGGGGTTAAAGGTGCGCACCATCACACACGGCCCGCACACGCATCTATAACTGGCAATGGCTTCTTTGGACCCCGATTTCTGCATTTAAGAGATGAGTGTGTGTGGCCGGGTGGAAAGATGATGAAGTTGGCGCTCCGATTCTAAGTGGTGGGTGTCCTTCAGCTCGGCTACTGTAGCCTTTCAAAGCTACGGAAGCGCTTCTTCCGGGGCCCAGCGAGCTGGAGCTGGGGCTCGTTCCTTTGCAGGTGTCTCTCCCCCATTACGCTCTCCCACCAGAGGGGTCGACTCCGGCGTCGGAACCTTCCTGCGTGGAGCGCGCATTTCCGACCGGCTCTCTTTCCCAGGGACGTCGCCGCCCCTCACGCCCCTGCGCCCCCCACCCCCGGACCCTCGTCCCCGGCGCCGCCGGCCCGGAGCTGCCCGGAAGCTCGCTCCTGCCGCGGCGCTCGTCAGGGCAAGCCCGGGTCCGTCCGGGACCTTGGCCCCACTCCCCCCCGGACCCGAGAGGCTGCTGCACCGGGTACGGGGGCCGGGATGGAGGGAGGAGCCTGGCTCGGGGCCGGCACCACTGGGGGTGTGGGCCTGGGCCGTGGTCGGTGAGGACCAGGAGGCAACGGGATGGGCCAAGGCAGAGGCGAGAGGGGCGTAGGGATGCCCAGGCTCCTCACGGAAGCCAGGGGACAGGGAAAGCCCTCGGGGGTGTAACGGGACGGGTTGGATCACCGGATGAAGGCTGCCAGAGCGCCACAGGCGTCGGGGCCACGCGTTAACCCGAGAGATGGAGAAGAGGAGCAGAGATGCCAAAAGCACCTAGGAAGAGAACAGTGTGGGAACGAGAAACCAGGAGGTCCTGTGCATGACGGCGGAGTGGGAGGAGGCCCTGAGGTGGTGGTGGTGGTACAAAGATGCTGGTGTCATTTATAGGGACAGAAGGGGGATCTTGGGGGTTATGGTGAATGGAATGCAACAACATGGGGGTATACATAAGGAAGGCAGTTGAAGATGGGTTTCCCACGTGGGAAGATGGAGAGCCTTTAAGTGCAAAGTGTGGGTAGAGCATAAAGGAATGCGGAGTGGAAAGTGGGAAACTGGGTTAGTGGGACTCTGGGCAAGTACTTGGTGGGGGGGATGACGGGGCTCGACATCTGCAGAGATTGGGGAGGCCCTGAGGGGCATCGAGTGGGGTGGAGACCTAGGCTGTTAAGGGGCCGGAGGGAGAGGACCCAGCAGAGATGTGGGGAAGAGGGCAGGACAGGACAGGACAGGACAAGTCAAATCCCGGAGGCTCGGAGTGTGCGGTTAGGGAAGATCCAGGCTGAAAACACGGGGACATGGACTTGGAACTGGATTGCGGGGCGGGGAGTGGAAGCAGATGAGCGGGAGGAAGGCAACCGCGGATCGGACCCAAGCACTGAATCGGAGGAGGCGCAGGGTGGAGCTGGGCTTGGCCAAGCTCTGGCGAAAAAGTCCCAGCGATGGGGACTGGACTCAGATTTCATTTCGTGGGGAGGTAGGTCAGTGGCACAGAGACAGTCTGGCCGAGAGAATGGGAACGTTCCTTTTTAGGAATTTTTCCTGAAAGGAAGACGCGATCTTAACTTCTCTCCCCTCCGCCGCTCCCAGCTGCCGCTCCAGATGCTGCTGCTGCCGCCGCGGCCACCCCACCCTCGGTCCTCCTCTCCGGAGGTCATGGACCCACCGCCCCCCAAGACTCCCCCTTTCCCCAAGGCGGAAGGCCCCTCCTCCACTTCTTCCTCGGCGGCGGGGCCGCGGCCACCGCGGCTGGGGCGCCACCTGCTCATCGACGCCAACGGGGTCCCCTACACATACACGGTGCAGCTGGAGGAGGAACCTCGGGGCCCGCCGCAGCGCGAGGCGACCTCGGGAGAGCCCGGGCCCCGCAAGGGCTACAGCTGCCCAGAGTGCGCCCGTGTCTTTGCCAGCCCTCTGCGGCTGCAGAGCCATCGCGTGTCGCACTCGGACCTCAAGCCCTTTACGTGCGGTGCTTGTGGCAAGGCCTTCAAGCGGTCCAGCCACCTGTCGCGGCACCGCGCCACTCACCGCGCGCGCGCTGGCCCACCGCACACCTGCCCGCTCTGCCCCCGCCGCTTCCAGGACGCGGCGGAGCTGGCGCAGCACGTGCGCCTGCACTGAGCTCTGGCCTGCCGGGGCCACCGCGTCCCACCGTGCACCGTCTCTCCCACGCCCTCCCCGGTTCTGCTGAGGTGACTGCCTTACCCGAGGCCTCGGTTTCCCCACCTGTCCGCAAAGTGAACCATCGTCTCGTTCTTCCCCTCCCGTGTACCTGTGTGACGTAGACCAAAGTCGTCCCTCTGGGCCTGGGCGCCAGAGGGAAGTTGGGCTCCTCCAGCTGTGCCGGTGTGAGCCTGTGCCGGGGGCTTGGCCTCTGACCCTCGGCTTCCTGCGTTCCGAAGCGGTGAGGTTGTCCCTGTGGAAGGCAAGACCACACGGCACGGTCTGGTCATTTCTGTACTTCCTCCTAATGCCTACGACTCCCCGTTCTTTGCTCAATAAACATCCCGCACTCCATTCTCCGGCTCTTACTAGCGAGTGGGCTGAATATAGAGAGGAGGAAGGGGGCTGGGATCGGACCGCTAGCTCCTGGGAACCTTGTTCGCGGAGCGCGTTTCTGGCCGGAGCCGTTTCCCAACATCCTGGCGCTCACCCTCACCGTCCTCTCCCGGACGCTCTTCTCTCCCAGAGTCCTTACTGCTCTTACCCGGCCCCGCCAGCTCCCGGGGATAGCCAAACTTTCCCAAACTGAGAGGCTGCTCACGGGTATCCAGCGGAGAAGGAGGGATGGAGAGCTGAGCGGCTGCGGAGGAGGCGGGTCCTGAGGGAGCGCTTTGGGAAATTTGTCGTGGGGGGCCTCCAAAGGTGAGGCCGGCAGACCTAGAAAGAACTGCGGGTCGGGCGTGGACGAAGGGGTGGGTGTGGGTGACCTGGACATAATGTTTGGACCTACTCCTAGAACTCGGGCGGTGGCGGGAGAGATCTGGGGGACCAGGAGCTGAAGCCCGGAGATAACCTGCGTGACGGCAGTAGAGGGCCGCAGGGTGGCCTGCAGAGGGGAAAAAGATTGTGGAATACAGTGGATGGTGGAGGTCAGAAGACAGGAGCGACCCCAGGGCCTTATAAAGGGTTGTGGAATCTAGGTCGCAGGGACAATGTGGAAGACCCTGGGCAGCGCACACTGCAGTAATGGAGCCCGTGGCCCACTCTTCAGTTCGACCTCCCCATCCTCTTTTCCACCTACCAGGCCTCTGCCACCTCTAGGGATGCTGGTGCTGCCGCCTCCCCGCACCCAGCCTCCGTCGCTCCCCTCTGTTGAGGCCATGGAGGTCCCTATCCTTTGGACAGGTGGGTGCCCAGAACCGGGACCTTCCTCCTCCACCGGCTCTCCCCAGACATCGTTCCTTCCAAGGTCCAACCACTACTTTCTCATTGATACCCAGGATGTATCTCCCCCCTCCCCCCACAGTGCTGGTGGACGAGGAGTCACAGAGGGAGGCGGGAGCTGATGTAACTTAGGCCCAGAAAGAGTGCTACAGCTGTCCCATGTGCTCTAAGGTCTTTAAGTGCATGTCTTAGCTTCAGCGACACAGCATCACTCAGTTAAAGGCGAAGCCCTTTGAATGTGACACGTGTGGGAAGGCGTTCAAGCTGGCCAGCTACCTTGCACAGAACCATTCCTCTCAGGGCTGGTGGGGGTTGGCCCCACGGCTGCTTGCTCTGCCCTAGCCGCTTCCCTGAGAGCTGGAGAGCTGGCCCAGCACAGCCTTGTGCACTCAGGGGAGCGCCTGTTCCAGTGCCCACACTACAGAAACACACCTGGTAGAAGTATCTCTGAGCTGCCTCGAAACTGTGGGCCTCCCCTCCTGAATCTCTGACACTGGCCCGCGTTGCAGGACGGCTTTAACGACCCTGGACACAAACCTCAAAGGGACCTCCTGATGGAGTCAGAGTGGATCACCATGGTGCTTTGGAGCTGTGATGGGAATGCACACAGAAGTCCATCCCTGAAGACCTGGGAAACTATTCCAGAGTCCTGACTGAGGAAGTGGAGGCCATTGCTGTTTGGGGAAACTCTCTTGCTTCAGAGAGGTTTTGGTGGGCAGTCAGGAGACCCCTGTATTCTGACACTTGGGACAGGGCCCTTGACAGGACCCACAATAAACACTTCTGTTCTCAGCACTGTTGTGCTTGGAGATATCTTGGGTGGTTCTTACCATGAGTAGGTAGACCCGGGCTGGGCTGCCTGCTCCAGGAGTTGGGCCTACCTCAGCTCCTGAAGACTGTTTTCCGAGACAGAGTCTCCTTGTAGCCCCATCTAGGACTCAGAGATCCATCTGTCTCTGCCTCCCAAGTGCTGGGATTAAAGGTGTGTCCACCAAAGTTCTGATCCTCTTTGCCTCCACCTCCTGAGTGCTGGGATTACAGACATGTGCCACAATGCCCAGTTTATGTGGTGCTGGATACTGAACCCAAGGCTTGGTACAAGTTAGGCAAGTATCTGCAGACTGAGCCATATCCCCAGCACCTTTACCATTTAAATCATAATCTCCTGTAACACGCTTTACACAAACTTACATGGAACAAGTTTAACAGTGCACACAAGGACACCCTGATGTACTTTTCACATTAATGTTCATCTCACTGTATGAAATCAATGAAAAACATTGACCTAGGGCAGGTGGCTCCCCCTGGACTTGACCCAGGCTGCAGTTTCTGAACGTGAAGCAGGAGAGAGAGAGGGTTAGTTTTCTTGGTTGACACGTTCAGCCTCCCTCTGCAAGGTGAAAGTCCTGCTTCCACAGGGGCTCCATAACTAGAGCAGGTCAACCGGTGGGGCATAATAAACATGTGTTTTCTGACTTTTCACTGCCTGTTTTATGCTAGACGCAGTTAGGCTTCCTTTCCACTGCGATCTCTTGGGGTGGCAGAGGGCTAATATCCCATGTGTAGACTCCCGACTGGAACTGTCCCAAAGGCTGCCCTCCCACCCCACCCTTTGACCTCATGCAGTAACAACAGCGCTTGATCTTGAGGCCCAAGTATGGGCTGAGCTTTTGGTGTGTGATACTGCAACTGCATCCTGGAGAATCTAGAGAAGACTGTAATTTTCCCACTTAGCAGGTGAGTAAACTGAGGCTATAGAGGAATGGGAGCAGGAGGGACTGCAGCATGGCAGCTAGCTGTTCCACAGCCGGCTATAAGGGACTATTCCTGGCACACATCTCGGTCAGGAGTAATCGCTACAAACCCGTTCTCACATCCTGGCCACCTTATCACTGAAAACGTTTGTGCAGGTGTGCCCCAGGCATTTCCTCAGGGACCATTAAAACTTGAATTTTTCATTCTGCCTCACTCTCTCTGATTTTTCCGGGCCCACGGGGCACTTAGGCATCCACCCGGGGGACCCCCGTAGTAGCGCCAGCTCTACAGGACCAGAATTTCGTGACGTTCCCTGCCTGGGCTTTTGGAAGGGCGGGGGCCGGGGGGACTGCTGCAAGGGGCCATCGCGCAAGTGCAGTCCCGACCACCGCGCAAACAGCGGACCTCACCTGGGCGCCAGGACTCCAGGAGGAGGCGCTCCAGGCCGGCTGGACCCGGCAAGTGCCCGTGTCCCTGCGCGCTCGCCACCCAATTCCACGACTCATCCTCGGCCGCGGCGCCCGCTTACTGGTGGGTGGGCGCTTCTCTCAGCTCCCATTGACACTTTGCAGACGCTCCCCAGCGCCGGGCATGGGCGCCGCCGCCACCGTCGGTCCCTGGGCTGGAGTCCGTGCGCGGGTGGGTGAGCGTGGGGGACCCCCGACCCCTCGGACCCGGGGCACCCACGGGCGGGGATGGCGGCCACATTCGCTGCTCCTGGCTTGCTGGATGCCTCTGTTGAGGTCCTTTCCCACGGCCGCCCCCTCCCACTCATGGGACAAAGGGCGGGGGCGCATCCCCACGCGTGACCTCCCCCGCACTGCGCACGCGCCCAGCCCCCCATTAGGGAGGAGGGGCCCTGCTCGCCCACCAGAGTGCGGGAGGAGTGGGCGGCTTGGGGCCGGGGAGCGCTTGCGGGCTGTACTCCCCCAACCCTACGCGTGGAAGTTGGGGGGCGGTTTCCTCCCTGCATGAAGCTTTTGGTTGGAAGATGGCCTGTGAGGGGGGTCCTTCCTGGTTAGGCCAAAGTGGCCCTGCAGTGTTAGGTGACCCCAAGAGGAACCAAAAAAATAATGTATGGGCCAGGCTCCCTCTGCACAACCGAATCCTTTTTCCTAGTCCTCTTGATGAGTCCAGGATTTTGAAACCTCTGTGTCTCAGTCCAGGAGTATGGGTCCTTCCTCCCTCAGACAGCGGTTCCACGCCTGCGCGCCCTCCTCTCACTCCCGAGGACCGGGTACTCCTCCGTCCCCGGGACTGACCCCATTTGTGGTGACTTTTCTGTTCAGTGCCCCTGAGGCGCTCAGCTGCTGGGTCTGCAAGAAGTCTCGCTATGAACGACCGAAGCAGCCGTAGGCGGACAAGTGAGGAGCAGGAGCCCTTTCCCCATCCTTGACCTGACATCGCGGTTTCCTCTACCCCGGGACAGCTATGGTTGGGGGTGGTCTTAGAAATCCCAGGTCAATTCTGGGGTAACCCGCGCTGGCCTCTTTCCAGTGAAGGATGAAGAGACCTTTGGGATCTCCATTCCCTTCGAAGAGGCACCCCACTTAGACTCACAGATCTTCTACAGTCTGAGTCCCTCTAGGAGAAATTTTGAGGGTGAGCTGAAAAGGGTCATTGGAGGGACTGGAATCAGCTGGGGGCCGTGCTGGGGCATGACCCCCATCCCTCCATGGTGTTCTTAGAGCCTCCCGAGGCCACCTCCCCAGCGCTGGCGTTGATGAACAGCGTTAAGGCCCAGCTACACATGGCCCTGGAGAGAAACTCATGGCTGCAGAAGCGAATTGAGGACCTGGAGGAGGAGAGGGACTTTCTGCGGTGTCAGCTGGACAAGTTCATTTCCTCTGCCCGGATTGATGCAGGTGGGGGGCACACAGATCTCCTGGGATCCAGACACCAAGCCCCAGTATTGGGACAACCTGATGGGGACTTAGCATTTCCACTCCACTACCACCATTGTCTGTTTTATGGACCTCACCACCTATTTGCTTAATTTCGGAGACCTCTGATCTCCCACATCACAGGAGGTCCCAAATCCCACCAGCCAAAGCCCTGGCACAGTTGTTTCCTCTCAAATCTGGACTCCCAGTGCAGGTTCTGTCTTTATGACTAGGAACAGTGCAGTGGGGTTGCTTCTTCTGATGCCTGTTCAACTATTTTGACTTGTCATTCCTGCCATGTTCCCAAGTCAAGGCCTTCTTCCCCAAATGTTTAGCTCAGGTCTTGAACTTAACCTTTACTCAGGCCTCAACTTCGGTGTAGCCAGCTGGGCTGTGGGCAAGCTCCCTGGCTAGTAAAGCCCTCAAAAGCCCTAGCAAAGATTCAGTAGTGTTTTGAGGGTCTAGGTTATTTGGAACCCAGCATTTGGGGATTAAGTCCCCTCTCCCTACACTGAGGGCTCCATCCTGGTTATCTCCACTGTTTCCTTAGGATAGTAGGGTAGAAGCCTTCCAGACTTTAATTCTCCCCCAGTCTACCCTTTGGCGGATATTTAGTCTGAGCCTCAGTTGGCTCCCTATCCAAATGATGGCTTTCCCCAGGCCTCCAAACTGAACCTCGGCTTTTCTAGGGGGTCTGAC